ATGTAGTCAAGCTGGGTTTTCATATTCATTGTTTGTCATGAGAGAAAGTTACATTGATTCTCTTGTAGAGTTATTTTATTATATATATTATTTTAATAAAAAATTTATATTACTTTTGGACAAGTGATATCTTTGAATTTGTCCTTTATAAAGGTATTCTTGCCTCACGTAATCCAAAGGAAGAGGTATTAACCCGACTACAAAAATGACAAGGGTTAAAAGCTAAACAAGAGCAAAAGGATTTTAATGATCTAAAGTCAGTAAAAGAAAAGATCAGGAATATCTATTTTGTTTCAGCAAAAATTTAAAGGTAAAATAGTAATTGAAGATTAACCTGAGCAATAATAAATTAGCAGAGATGATTATCAAGAATTTCCCAGAGTTAAAATTAGTTTCGCTAGCTCATAATCAATTAATTAAGTTAATATATACCTACAATAATCAGCTAAATAAGTGAGAAGTACCAGTGGAGCAGTTGGAACCAAAACTTACTTATAGTGTTGATCCTCTTGATCCTGATGAGAAAGACAATATAGATGCTTTAGGTTTACCAGATCGGGTAGCAATTAGTCGAGCTTAATGATGATGCTCAAGCTTGATTAGATAATCCATAAATATCTTCTTAACATTAGAGCTAGTATTGAGAGGTTGGTCATTAGCGAGTTAGGATTGTAAGGTGAACTAGACCTAACTGATTTAAAAGTTACAATTTATTAACTAAACCGGATTTAAGATATTGTGGAAATTAGAGTTTTTAGATGCTAGTAGCAATCTAGTTAAAATGGGTAACTTTTCCTCTTTGGAGTCAACTAAAAACAATTTTTTTAAAATAACAATAAGTTCAGAAGCAACAGATTTAAGTAATTCAACTATTAGAGGAACTTTCTTTAACTAGTAATTAACTAGAAAATTTGAATTTAAATCCTTTAACCAATTTAGAACCTTTTAAATTGTGCTTTAAATGGCTTAGTTGAATTAGATTTAAGTTAGAATTTAAAAGCCAAAGAACTTATTGTGTTATAAGAGTCTAGTTAAAAGTTAGATGCTAAACATTAAGCAAAATACAGTATTTATATCGTTACAATAATTATTTATTTTCCTTAGATTTGTAGTGGAATGAAGAATTAAAAACGTTAGACTGTGCTGAGAATAGTTTAAAGATTGGATATTAGTAATCTTGTATACTAAATTCTCTTTTGCGTAAGTTAAATGGTAGTAGTTGTAGCAATCCAGCATATTTGGATTGTTCTTCTGTAATTTCATATTTTAAAGTGCAAATTTAGAAATTGATGGATGCAATAATTTATGAAAGATTTTTTGTGATGAAACAGTCAATATTGATTGAAACCCATTCTTAAATAAGAGAAAAAAAAACCATATCGCTACTTTATGAAAAGCATAAATGCCTTAGGTTTTTTGCAACACTAAGAGAATTCAAAAAATTCTAGTTGACCCTGATATTACAAGTCACTCCCGTTATAATGACACTCCATATGCAAGTAAAAAATGTCAGTATAACGAGATTGTCATTATAATGGGAGTTCATATAAAAGTCATGTGAGAATCATTATCATATGATTTTATTTTATTAATTATTTTATTGAAATTTAATTATGACTTTTAATAATTCTAATTAACCAATTAATCATATTAATCAACTTTTTATTGTTCAATTTTTTCAGAAGTGACCAAATGTTTTTGATTGGTTCTCTCATTATACTGACATGTCATTATAACGGGTGTCAGTATAACGGGATAAATTCTATAATTAAAAAAATTATTTTTGACAAATTATGTCATTATACTAGTATAACGGGATAAATAGTGAGTGTCATTATAACGGGCATAAATTTGTATTTATAAATTTGGTTTTTAAAAAAATGTCATTATAACAAGATTGTCATTATAACGAATGTCATTATAACGGGAGTGACTTGCATTTCCTTAGGCGAGCTACTAAATTTAGAGAAACATGGATTACATGGAGTGTCAAATGAATTAAAAGAGCAATTGGTGGAATTGGCTAAAAATAATTCCAAGAAAAAGCTCTTCAAGAGGAAATCGCTAAATCATAAAGGCTCTTAGTTAATTCAAAAAACCTTTCTGTTTTTGGGTTAAGATTGAATTTGCTGGATCCAGAAACTAAAGAACAAGTTGTCAGGTTAGAAGGAAAAGATGAAGGCTTTAAACATATGCGCTGATTTTGTTTGAACCCCAAAATCCAGTACGGTATGATCATAACGTTATGAATACTTTATATTAGCAAAAACCCATTGGTTTGACGGGTTGATGAATAGTAAATTAGTTTTTTTAGCGGAGCAAATAATTTTTTTTAGGGTAATTATCATTCTACCGACCAGTTTACACATTAAAAATACTCGTGTTTAACATCAAGACACAATAAGACATAAGGTTTGAAAAAAGGCCCAGAAAACCAAATCGGCTGATATGAATTACCAAAACTAACTAGGAAAATGAAAATGACGAAATGATTTGTCAACAGAAGATAAAACTTCTCCCATAGAAGAGAATGAAGAAGCAACCAACTCCTGAAGTTCCCGAAAATTAAAGAAAAACTTTCCAAAATAAAATATCGAACAAAACTAATTGGTTTAAAAAGTAAATTATTGAATCAAGAAAAGAGGACCTCGGACAATTATGTTTGAACTGGTAGTGTAACAGAATATATAAAAAGTTGTAAATTCTACCCCAAAAATTAATGTAATGATTTTCTTTTAATGTAATATGTTCGCTAAACTTTTTTGTTGTAAATGTCTTTTATTTATTAATAAAAAAAAAAGGAAATAAATAAATCAAATAAATCAATTGAAAAAAAAGTTGTTCCACGAAATTTACTTAGTCTCAATTTCTTAAGTGTATAACAAAATTCGGAATTTTCAAAATGTTAAGGCTCAGCCAATTTTCAGTTTAAGAAAAAACTAGCCGATAATTTTTGAAGCTTGAGTCGTGAACAATAAAACTTATCGGTTAAATTTTTAAAATGATATAATTTTTTTTGTTTTAGTATTTTGAAGTTGACCAATTTGTTATTACAAGCAATTAATGATTATAGATGATCGGTACCGTAGCCCATTTTTGGTTAATTATTCCTAAACAGAAAAAATCAACCAATCAACTTTCGCGTTGTGCTTAATCTGGTGGCGACGTTCAACAGAGTTTTCCCAGTCCTAGCATCACTGAATCTCAATAGTGTACCTCAATTTAATGGATATTAATTGGTTGAGGTTTAATAATAATAATCAATTAAAACTATAATAATAATAAAATTCTTCTCAATATAATGGATTTCTTAATGCAGTCAAGCCTTGTCACGGTGGATGAACGGGACACATAAGAAAAATTTTAAAAATCCATTATGACAAGAATTTTATTATTATTATAATCCACTGTGACAAGCTTTGACTGTATTAATATAATAATAACGGATTTTAATTTCTAATTGCCCAAATTATCTGCTAAACCAAGATTGTGTATATTTTAAATTTAAAATTTTTAATTGATAAAGGATATATTATTTAGTGATGGTGGCTGAAACTATTTTTGAAAAAAAAGCTAGTTTCGCCAAATCAATCTACTTTATTTAAAAACTTCAACCATTAAAATTAGTTTCACCAAAGTTTAGGCCAATTCATTTCGGAAATTTCGGCCACCATCACTAATATTAATAACGATAATGTAATGACAATAAAAAATAATACAATTTACAGTTGCACAATTCATTAATAAATAAACGATAATGATTACTATAGATTCGAATCAGTTTGAATCAAATCAAATCAAATCAAATCTAATCAAATCAAATCAAATCTAATCAAATCAAATCAAAGTACAATTCGAATTCGATTTAATTCGAATTCAAACTGATTTGAATCAAAAATTAGGTGATTCTAATTGGTTCGAATTTCATTGATTCATTCGTAGCCTTAATTACAACTATGCAAAACTGCACAGTTGTAATTATATTACTTCTAATTCTTCAGATTTCTCTTTTAATTATATTAATTCCTGACTACTTTCAAGTGTTTGGATTTCTTTTATAATATATTATTTTAGTAAACTTTGTTGTCTTGGATATCTTTAAATTCATCCTTTACAAATGGATGAATATTATTATAAAGTTATTCTTGCTTCTTATAATCCAGAAGAGGAGGTGTGATTTAATTTCTTCAAAAACATCTGCCATCTTAATTTTTAATAAATTGAATTCAGCAAAAGATCCATCAGCAACATACTGAGTTTTGACAACATAGGATTAGATGCTTTGAATTTTTTAAAATAAATTCCCAAAATTAATTTGATATCCAAGTATTGAAAGCCTTTTTCCACCTTCATAGCATTCAATCCTGCTGGACTAGATCTTTTCACCACGTCAACAACATGATCTACACAATCTACACTTGTTTTCCTACAGAGTTTTTTAATCAATCCAAAACTACCACCACATTTGAGTTTGGTATGTATGTCCAGAAAGAAACCATGAAATTCAATTCAAGACATTGTATTTTGGCAAATTATCCATCATCTTATAAAAGTAATTGCTTAAAAAACATGCTAATACGGCATTCTTCACCTAATGTTTCCGGCCAATAATTCTCAAATTAGTTGGCTTAATACTTTTTTATAAAAGTGAATATATAGCTATTAAAGTTTAGCTAATTTCCGCTATTAAGAGAGGTCGTTTTGACCAGGAACCTTATCCTCCTCACACTACTTTAAAAGTTAATCCAACAACATGTAAATAATAAATATATATCAAGGAAATAGCACCACAACCAAAAAAAAAATCAAAATTATAAATATCTTGATCAATAATATTGCTTGCTTTTTTACATGTAAAGTTTTTTTATGAAACTTGCAAGAACTGGTTAGCTTCAGTTAAAAGTTTTCACGCACAAAATGGGGCACAAAAAGATTTCTTACTTCGCCACATAACTAGTCTTTTTTAATTTTTGGGGCTAAAAGAAAAAAAAAAGAAAGATATGGAGACATCATTATCAGCAATTGTTTATACCCGATCACCACCAACCTTAAAAATTCTTAATCAACTATTACTTCCACATCGTACGCTTTATGAAAATGTTAAAAGTGTTAAACAAGGATATGAACAAATCAAACAAATGAAAGTTCGTGGTGCGCCTGCTATTGCCATAGTGGCAGCATTATCTTTGGCTATAGATTTACAACTTTGTTACATCTGTGTAAATAATAATAGAGGTGGTGACAATAACAATAAAGAAGAATTGAAATCAATTTATGAAAAAGCTGTAAAAACACTCGAGTCCCCCCAATCACTTTTAAACTATATTAAAGAATCACTAGACCATCTTAAAACATCTCGACCAACAGCTGTAAATCTATTTAATACCGCAAATATTTTATTGGATTTAAGTGAAAATCTGGTTGCCAAAGCTAAAGGTAACAATAATAATGATAATGTGTTGAGTATAATAGAAGGGGTTGTTGACGAAGCTGAAAGTATGTTAAAGAGAGATGTTGAGGATAATAAAAACATTGGAAGATTTGGTGCAGAATTTATTTTGAGTAATTGTGCTGGCGATGATGGTGATAGTAAATTGGTGAATGTAATAACACATTGTAATACTGGGTAAGTCAATAATAATTAATTGATTAAGGTATTGATAACTAAATTTTAATAATTTTAATTCTTTTACACAAACCAATCACACACAAATTATTTGCATAGTTCACTAGCAACAGCTGGTTACGGAACAGCACTTGGAGTCATACGATCATTACACTCAAAATCTTTATTATCACAAGTATACTTTACAGAAACACGACCATATAACCAAGGTGCTCGTCTAACATCATATGAACTTTTACACGAACAAATTCCAAGCACACTTATTTGTGACTCAATGGTATCGGCACTACTTTCCGACCACCATTCTAACTCCAAAAAAAGAAAAATCAATGCAATAATAGTTGGAGCAGATAGAGTTGCTAGGAATGGTGACACGGCCAATAAAATTGGCACATATCAATTAGCAATATCAGCTAAATATCATGGAGTAATGTTTATTGTTGCTGCGCCTTCTACTAGTATTGATTTAAGCATTAAAAGTGGAAAAGATATAATTATCGAAGAGAGAAGTGAGAACGAGGTTTTGCATGTTAGTGGAATTGTTGAAATTGATGGTAATGATAATGATAATGATAATCTTGAAATTAAAAAAGTAAGAGTTCCTCCCAAAGGTGTTAAAGTTTGGAATCCTAGTTTTGATGTTACACCCGCAGAATTGATTACAGCTATTGTTACTGAAGTAGGAGTTATGGTTAAAAAAGATGGAGTAAAAGAATTTGATCTAGTTGAAGGTTTGAAAAAATCTTGAAAAATATTTATTTAATGAATTTATTACAATATTTACATACATACATGTAAAATAAAGTTACACATAAAATTATATTTTGCAAATAACAATAATACAAATTGTAATAATTACATTCATTTTGTGAAGAAAACTTTATTCTAATTTATTACTCATAATGAATACTTGATCTGAGGAATTAAGTACTTTTATGATCTGGCATAGAATATGTTTCACAAAGTTTTTTGAAATTTATGAAAAGTATGGCATGGAAATGCACACAGATAAAATATATTTATTTTATATATATGTAATCAACTGTAAAATAAAACAATTGACAAGGTATTATATTTTAATTTTAATTGGATAATCCATTTAATATTTCTGCCCTACTTTCCTAACCAATAAGCATATAGTGTAACAAAGGGGTTACTGTACACTTTTATAAATCCTAGGCACTTATTGGGTGTCCTCAGAAATTAAAATCTGATTAGATTAAGATTTGATTTGATTTGATTTGATTTGATTTGACTTGATTTGATTAGGAAAATGATGGATATTTGAATATAAATTTATTTTGTAACTATTTCAAATATTTGTAATTATTTTGGATATTCATAATAATTATTTCAGATATTCATAATTTATTTCAGATACTTTTATTTATTTTGAATATTCAAACATTTGTAACAAATATTTGAAATTTGTAATTTTAGATTTACAAATATTCAAATAGGAGATAGGATTACAGTTAAAAACTCCCCTATTCTGCAAAAAAACGTGTTATTCTTTTTTTTAAATCTTACTCAGAGGGTAAGATTTATTTTTAATATAGTTGGCTCAGTCTAAAGACTCCTAAATTTTGTGCAAATTTTAAAAGTATAAAAGTCATTTTCTGTCCTACTTTTTTAAAAAATAGCTCTATTAGTTGATAGAATAGGTCTTTTAATTTTAAAAATAACTACTATTTTCTTTGATAGCTGGAATGAATTTCAATTTATACAGAATATTCTTTAAACTACTTTCACATTTTCAATCAAGATTATCTTTTAGTCTCTTTAACTTCAATTTGAGCAATTTGACCATTCTGTTGATCTTTTAATTTCCTGTTTTCCTCTTCT